GGATAGGGAGGGCCATGGGGAAGGGAAAGGGTTTGGGGATGGGGGAGGGGAGGCACAGGGCGGGAGCTGTGGGTGCGGGAGGGGAAGCGCGGGGGGGGCATGGGGGGGCGGCCGAGCCCCTCAGCTTCCCGGCCCCAGTGGCCCCTGCCTCTGCATCGAGGAGAAACACACCCCACTTCCATGCAGCAGCCCAGAGGCCAAAGAGCTTCCGGAAGGTTGCAGAGTTAGCGCCTCAGGGGTGCCGGGGATGGAGAACTCGTGTGTGTGTGTGTGTGTGTGTGTGTGTGTGTGAAGCATGAGTGTGAGGCCTGGACCAGTCCCGTGCTTACACGTGTGTGCACGCACGTGGGGCTGGAGATGCCCTCGCATCACACTCGCAGGTGCACAACCCCCGCGGAGGCCAGCGAGCGTGTCTCATCCACACGCTCCAAGCGTGAATTCCTGGCCTTCGCAGGTCAGACGGGAAGACAGCCATGATGCTGCGTGGCGGCTGCAGGCAGGCGCGACCGTCAGGAGAGGTGCATCCATGGCACCCCTGACGACCGGCCACTGAGCCCGACGCTGGCGGCGGCCTCCTCCCCCCGGAGGACTCGGTCCAGCACCTGGGAACCTGCAGGCGGTGAGCGGCCCGAGCCTCACCCACCGAGAGCTGCCAAGCCTTTCAGCTTCTCCCAAATTTAACTCAGAGAGAAGAAAAGAAACATCCTGGACACAGTAAGTCCGTGAGGCGTCCCGACGGGCTCGCCGCCCCGTCCTGTGCGCGACGGGCACACGCGTGTCCGCAGAGCCCTGCACGCACGCTCAGTGCCGCTGCTCCGGCCCCGCCGCGGGGCCTCCCGCCGATCCCTCGGTCGGCGGCGGCTGTCGCTCCCACAAGGCCCACTGCCAGCGTCCTTCCTCTGGGGCCCTGGCGCTCCGGCTGCTCTCCGTCTTTGTATTTGGCGTTCGGCTCAGGACTTGCCGAGCTCCTGAGGACCAGGCCTTCCGGCCCCGCCTTGAGCCTCCAGGCGCTGCCTCCGAGCGACCCGCGAGGTCTGCACCGCGCTGGGGTCTCAGCTCCGCCGTGAGGCTGCATCCGTCCTGACACTGAACTCACCTGTGGAGACTTCCACCTCAGTGACTGCTGTTAGCACTTCTCATACCTTTGAATCTGCCTGCTTTTTTCAGGGTGTGGTATTTGTTTATGTTTCTGATGCTTTCACGTTTTCAATACCTTTAAATCTCATCTTATAATTTTTATCAAGTATTCAGTTATCTGATGTCTGTGGACTCTCTCTACTTGGAGTGCTTCCTACACGCTTTGTACCCGGGGCTGTGTTTTGTTCCTGCTGCCCCATGGCCCCCACAGCTCCACGCCCTGAGTCCACGGGAACGATGGGGGATGGAGCCATGGCTGCTGCCACAGGAGGCCAGCGCGAGGTGTTTCTGATTAGAAATGACAGTGCATTTCTGTTGAAAGGGTAATCTGTATCTCTCTGAGATTTTTCACAAAGTGGTAACCAATTTCACATGTATCTTTAACATTCTTCTTGATTACAAAGTGAAAAACAGAGTAGGGCGTGTGTAGACAATGATTAAGCGGCGGCTGATCGTACGTGTATCTGTCAGGCGCTGTCCCGGCTGCACACATTCCTCAGTTACTGCAGAGACGCTGCGCTGATAAAGGGAAAGAAAGAGGCCGGAAAATCGATGCGCCCGGAGCTGGAGCAGTTGCTACACACCCAGAAAACATCTCTATCCAACAGGCCGAGCGCGGTGAAAACTCACGCGCCCTGCCCTGGGACAGCCGCAGAAAATTTAATCTCTCCAAATCCTCACCAGGGCACTCCATCCTGCAGCCCTGACAGCCACACTTATAATTAATTATACAATTTCGATGGGAATATCGACTAAACAAAGTTATAAATCATAGAAAAAGTCAATAGGCATGGACACATTCAATCATGTCCCGGCCAATGATTACTACTCTTAAAATACAATAATTATTTTCAGAGCCAGCTTGAATTAAATTTCTGTCAGATGGGAACAAGGCTGGTGGTTGATCAAGGCTGAGATGGATTTGGGGGCCGAGGCCGGAGCAGCACATCCATCCTGCTGTGGGCGTCTCGCAAGAAGGTGAGATGTCCTCTGAGGGCTCCTCAGGCCATTCATCGTCCCCCAGGGGGGTCTGGACGCCCGCCTCCCAAGCGGGACTGACACGCCGAGCTGCCGGGGCAGTTGCCGCTGAGCCTAGGCCCTGCACCACAGGGATGCACCACGGGGACGCACAAGGCCACCCCCTTCCCCGGAGATTCCTGACCCGACAGGAGGGGCCACGGGCCTTCCAGACCCACGTGTAGACCTCGTCTCTGCTTCGACTCCACTGCGTCTTCTCATCTGAGTCAGCCTCAAACTTCTCCCAGATATTCAAACTAACTTTGCTCCACCTTAAAGGAGCACAGTTTCACATGGTGAATAAGTACAGAACTAGAGCTTACGTCTAACGGTGACATCTGTAGTTTCCAGGGTGGTGACACATTCTCTAAGTGCTAACCGAGAGCATCGGGGACTCTGGACCCACTGTGACATCCCCGTTCCCCGCCGACCCCTGCCCTGCACACCTGCCTCAGGACCCCGTTTCTCCCTCACACAGTGGACCTTCCTTCTCGCCAGTGTCCTGGCTCCTTCCGGAACGTTCTGGCCCCCTGACCACCCCAGCGCCACTCTCTGTGTCCACTGTTCCCCTCCCAGGGCGTCTCCGCTTTCTGCTCGCCCTGGTAACCACACTGTCCCTGGCTTCGAGGGGCCGTCTCTGTGCTAGGGGCCCTCAAAGCCCACCCCGCCCGCCCTACTCCAAGCTCAGAGGGTCGCACGGCTGCCCAGGGAGCAGACGGCACCCCGAGTCTCCTGGGCACCTCACCCCACACAGGCACACCGAACGCGTCGTGTCCCCAAACCTGCCCCACGTGTTCCGGGCCTGGGAAGTCACAGGAATGGCAGCCAGACACGGCCGCACCCTACACAGCCTCCCGTCCAGCCCAGCAGGGCCGCAGCTGAGCCGTGAGTGCCGTGTGCTGAGCCCAGGCACTGCGGGACACAGCAGGAGCCCACCTCACCGGGACCCGAGGCCCCCTGCGCAGCCGAGCTGGGAACTGGCCGCGGGGACGCGGGGACGCAGCACGACAGGCGGGGGGGAAGTGCGTGAGGCGGCTTGGAGCGTCCGCGGGGGCAGAGGTGCCCCCCGTGCGGCTGCAGGAGGGGTGGGGGGTCAGCACAGAGGCCCCAGGCGTGAGCCGCGCCTCGGAGGAGGGGTCAGGGTCCCGGGCTTTACCCGACGGCGGTGGGAGGTGGCCAAGGCCCAAAGCTGGGCCTGACTGGGTGGGCGTGTGACCAGGCCCGGGCGGGCTCCAGGCTGGGGGTGGACAGAGGGGCAGGGGTCGGGAAGG